TGATGAGAAGCACTTCTAGGTTTATAGATGACAACTAAAATAAATCTAAAATGTTGAGCTTGTGATTGAACAGTAAGTAGTTGCTGTGGACTGGTCTGTATGTCAAATGTGTGCTCTGATTGGTCAATAAATAAAACACTGATTGGCCAGTGGCCAGGCAGGAAGTATAGGCAGGACTAATTGAGAGGAGAACTGAGAGAACAGGAAGGTGAAAGGAGACACTACCAGCTGCCACCATGACAAGCAGCATGTGAAGACACCGGTAAGCCACGAGCCACATGGCAAGGTATTGATGTATGGAAATGCATTAATTTAAGCTATAAGAACAGTTAGCAAGAAACCTGCCACAGCCATACAGTTTATAAGCAATATAAGTCTCTGTGTTTACTTGGTTGGGTCTGAGCAGCTGTGGGACTGGCAGGTGACAGAGATTTGTCCTGACTGTGGGCCAGGCAGGAAAACTCTAGCTTCAAGTAGTCATTGCTCTACCAGCTTAACAGAACTCCATTAAATGTTTAGTTCTAAACTGTTACATCATAGAATGGGAGAGAGCAATCTGCAACATTTTTTAACCTAAGTCATTTTTTGAGATCCTCAAAGTTTAGAAGTTTTATATCCTCAGACCTTTTTTAGACCCATATTTGAATCTTTGAGTTATTTAAATTTATTTATTTATTTATTTATTTATTTATTTATTTATTTATTTATTTATTCATTTATTTTTTGGTTTTTCAAGACAGGGTTTCTCTGTAGCTTTGGAGACTGTCTTGGACTAGCTCTATAGACCAGGCTGGTCTCAAACTCACAGAGATCCATATGCCTCTGCCTCCCAAGTGCTGGGATTACAGGTGTGCGCCACCACCTCCCAGCTTAAATTTTTATATCTTAGAACATTCTCTTAAAAATTAGCTAACAAGCTAGCTATATAGATCTGGTTGTCTGATGCTTTCAAGCTGACAAAGTTATAGCTAGCCAAGCCATCAGTACTATCAGAGATCTGAGAAGGATAAACTATATCTAAGTGCAGACCAAGCAACTTTCAATCCTATAAATGACAGGGACCAGTCCCTACCCAGATCTCCATAGCGTTGGAGGCATCAGTCAGAACAGCATCAATCTTCTTCCACCATCAGGTACATAAGGCAGAAGGTTTTTTTTTTTTCTGTAAAATAGGGTCAAGGAAGACTGATCTTGATTTGTCCAGGCAAAATGGTCCGATCAACTCCAGTGTCCTTCTGCTTGTCCACAGTCTGGGCTGGGTCCTGGTGGCGGGTGTTGCATTGGGGCATCTTGCCCTGTGGTCAGTGTTGTCATAATCCAGGCAGAGACGTTGTGGTGCCTTGTACGTAATCTTCTTTGGAGACCTTGGGTCACTGCTAGGATCTAGAAGTCTGTCTGATATAATAAACTTTTAGATCAACATTTAAATGCCATATTCTGCAGATCTCTGAAGTATGAGGGCTTCCAGGTACATCTGAATAGACAAACTTTGTTTATAGTTACTTATCTTACGCTCAACCCTGAAAATATATGCAAGGGACTGAGTAAAGCTTATCCCTGTAATTAATTACATCAGTATTTAGCATGACTACAATTTAAAAACTTGATTATTTATAGTTGACTATTTACCTATGTTCTCTGTCTACAATAAGCATCCTTAAAAACAATGATTTTAAATTGAAACCCTTTTGGTATCAAGTACGGGTTCAGTAAAGAAACCAAAATAAAATATTAATATAAAACATATATATGATTCAGTTTATACAAATAGCTTAAATTTAACAATTTTAGCAAAGGCAAAGAGACTAGACAACATCTTGAATTACAAAGTCTAGCTGCCAGAGCAAGCTTTGAGGGGCAGCTTTATTATTTATCAAACACCTTGTTTTTTAAACATATGTAGCCATCTATTTAAATTCTCTAGAAGTTTGCTGTTGAATACTTGGTAAAGATATAAGTACTTAAGTGTAAATCTCTTAAGTTAGGTTTTGTTAACTAAGGTTTTTATAACCTTAGTGAAAGATGGCAGCCAGCCATGTGACTGCCCATGAGGTCACCAGCCAAGATGGAGTAAAGCCACGTGGTTGACATTTAAAGCATGTTTTTCTAAACAATAATTACTTACACACATATGCACAGTTGGGTCCAAGTTACATACATGTACATGCAGTTAAAGCTAGCTTACACTCATAGTTAAACCCAAGTCACATACATGTATGTTTATATACATACACATAGATAAGCAGTTTGCAGAATTAGCTATTTTTAAAATGAAAACCAACCAGAATTAGTTTGCATTCCCTCTGACTTTCTGCAACTTTCCATAAGACCCCTTCTGACCTTCTATAACCTCTCATGTACCCTCCGTCTGTCCAGACATTTATTTCAGATAAATTATCTTTTTGTTTGTTTATTTATTTATTTATTTATTTATTTATTTATTTATTTATTTATTTACTTACTTACTTACTTATTTATTTATTTATTTGGTTTTTCAAGACAGGGTTTCTCTGTGTAGCTTTGGTGCCTGTCCTGGAACTCACTCTGTAGTCCAGACTGGCCTTGAACTCACAGAGATCTGCCTGGCTCTGCCTCATGAGTGCTGGGATTAAAGGCATGCAGCCACCACGGCCTGGGTAAATTTCTCTTTTTTTTTTAACATAGAAATTCTTCCAAAGTCTTTCTTGTGATTTCCCTCAGTAGTTTAGAATATATTGTAAAGCTACAATATTTTTTTTTAAAGATTTATTTATTTATCATGTATACAGAAGAGGGCGCCAGATCTGATTACAGATTTTTGTGAGCCACCATGTGGTTGCTGGGAACTGAACTCAGGACCTCTGGAAGTGCAGTCGGTGCTCTTAACCTCTGAGCCATCTCTCCAGCCCGTAAAGCTACAATATTTTAAACAAGAACAGAAATACATGCATATACCATTACAAGAAAAACTAAATTTGCATCAGCACTGTACCATAGACAAGAAACTTGTTGGTTAGCCTTATAACAGCCTCAGTAGCTTAGCAACCATAGGCAGTGACGTTCCATTCCTCTCTTAGAACAAAACCTTGATCAGGTTTTGGCCCCAGGGCAGGCCTTAGGAGCCCCACACATCATCATGGGAGATGGAAGAGGACCATGCACAGCATGGAGACAAAACCAGGTGGTGATGGTACATGCCTTTAATCCCAGCACTTGGGAGGCAGAAGCAGGCAGAACTCTGTGAGTTCAAGGCCAGCCTGGGCTACAGAGTGAGTTCCAGGATAGGCTCCAAAGCTACACAGAGAAACGATGTCTCGAAAAACCAAAAAAAAAGATGACTTTGAACTTTTGATTCTCTTACCTCAACCTCCCAAGTGCTTGGGATTATAGACATGAACCACCATGCTTGGCTATCTCTATTTTTTTTTTGTTTGTTTTTTGGTTTTTTTTTTGTTTTGGTTTGGTTTGGTTTTGGTTTTTCGAGACAGGGTTTCTCTGTGTAGCTTTGCACCTTTCCTGAAACTTGTTTTGTAGACCAGGCTGGCCTGGAACTCACAGAGATCCGCCTCCTGAGTGCTGGGATTAAAGGCGTGTGTCACTGCCAGGCGTATGCTATATTTTTAAAGATAAGTTTCTATTTACTGTGAGTTGAGTTGCTCTCTGTTTCCTGGAACCTGACTTTCCCCAACCCATGGCCTTGATTTGTTTTTGAGAATACCCTGACCCTCCCTGACCCCTCCCTAATCAGGTGGTGACTGTTATGAATTAACTGGCCAAGGTATCCCACTCATGCAGGGAACCATGCTGGTATGATGGGCAGATGCACATGGCAGTGGCCAGCGATCCGCAACCCAGCCGCTGTATCCACGTGGAGAGTTTATTATAATAGAGAGATGAAGAGAAAGATAGGAAGGGGGGAGAAAGGGCGGAGTCTTTCCTTAAAAAGAAGCTTTTACATCAGAAAGCATCAGAACATAGGGCGGACCCAAGGGGCAGGGGATTTCAAGGGGGCAGGTCAGAATATTAACAGTGTTTTTTTGTTTTGTTTTCCAAGTCAGGGTTTCTCTGTGTAGCTTTGCGCCTTTCCTGGAACTCGCTTTGTAGATCAAGCTGGCCTCAAACACACAGAGATCCACCTGCCTCTGCCTCCTGAGTGCTGGGATTAAAGGCGTGTGCCACCGCCAGCCTGTTTTGTTTTATTTTGTTTTTCCTGAAGCAGAGGACCAAACCCAGGGCCTTGGACTTGCTAGGCAAGTGCTCTACCACTGAGTTAAATCCCCAACCCCGACCATATGGTTTTTTTTAAAGATTTTTTTTTATTTCCTTATTGCTCAATTGTCTCTTATCTATTATAAAACTACTCAATTTACTCCTTAGGGCCTGAGAGATGGATTTGGGCTGCTCTCTTTAACCTGACTTAGGAGGCATTCGCTGGCCAGCTGTTGGGTGGATCCCCCCCCCTCCCAAAAAAAAAAAATCAAGCTTGCTTCAAGTTGAAGTGGTGGGTCTTATTCTTGCTGTTGGGATTAACAAGGGTTCTCTCCTTTCACTATGTGGGTCCCAGGACCAAACTCAGATCTTCTGGCCTGGCAGCAAGTTCCTTCACCCACTGAGGCAGCTCAAAGGCCCTAAGCTAGAGTCTCATGTTCCCATCTCAGGCTCCCTCTGGCTATGATTGTTGTATTTTCAAAACCGCACAAAGGAGTCACTGTTGTTTTAAAAATAAAAGTGGCACTGGTTACCGTGCGGAAAGGTCATGAGGCACGAGCCACAACAAAACCCAGTATCAGAGCTGGACACTGCACACACATGGTACACAGACAGACATTCAGGCAAACATTCACACACATGAAATAAATGAATAAAATTGCCCCCAAAAACATTTCAAACTATGTTCCCAAGATGTTGTTTTGACCAGGCCCCTCAATGGGCATCTCGTGAAATCTGCATTCCTGAATTTGGATTCCTTTGGCTTACAGTTCGTAGTTTGAAATGTTCACACAAACCTGATAGACTGCACCTCTTTTATTTTTTTTTTTTATTATGGTTTAATTGGCACAAAGTTCACTGAAGAGCATTTACTTTTATACAGATTTGCAATTAGAAAAATACATTGACAAAAAATATGGTTATTTTATATCAAATTTAAACCATTTCCAAAGAGAATACAGGTTACTTTTTCCACAGATCAAGGCAGTTTTTGTGTGGGTCTCTATCACACACATTTAACCCTCTGCCAGGTTTGGAGCCAACAAGACCTGAATCTAACCGTGGATCTACTTCCCCGAAAGCGGCACTATGCAAACATTAACTTATTTTTATTTACAAAAGAGACATTTGTATGTCTGATATGTGATAAACCGCACCCAAGTCTTAGAGCAACTTTGGAAGGCACTGCTGTGCATGCCCCACCTCCCTTGAAACATGGGATATGTTTCAGATACACGGGATCCAGATGCAAAAGCCTTAACAACCACCTTGGTCTTTCAAAGCATCCCTCATTTCAGTGACAGAAAAGGCTTAGTAGCCATGGCTAATTTTGCTGGGCAGGGGCTCACGAAGGACAATGGCAATCCAGGATGTTGAATTTCAAAAAGCCTTTTAAGGGCTGGGTGTAATGGCTCCACCTTGAATCGGGTGGATCTCTCGGAGTCTGAGGCCAGCCTGGTCTACAGAGGGGGTTCCAGGACAGCCAGGGCTACATCGTGAGACCCTGTGTCAAAAAAAAAAAAAAAAAGAAAAGAAAAGAAAAGAAAGAAAGAAAAAAGAAAAAAGGCCACTTGAAAACTACTATGCAAACTACTTATTTTCCTTTATATTTCTTTTAGTAATTACAAGTATTACAAGTTCTGCCAAGCATTTACTGTTTTAAAAAAAAACCCAAACCCCACAGTTTTTACTTTTTAAAATTATAATTGGTGATATTTTTCCTTGGTGAAGTTCTTTGGAAATTCTGGCTTACTTTCTTTAAAAGCCTTTTGCTGTGAATGAGATCCCTTGGGTCTGAAGAAGTGGAGTCTATGAAGAACATTTTGAACCACCCTTTTTGGGCATGAAGACACTGAGACGACAGAACACATGATCTGGCAAGACACAGCGAGGACATGGATGGATGCCCACCTTCCGGGGAAGGACAGGCTGCTGCGAGACACCTGTCTCAAACGAGCACACACATGTGACTGCTTAAATACAGACATCCATCTCCCTCCAGACGGCAAATAAAGATGTGGCTTAATTAAAAAGAGAGTCCCTCAGTCCACACTAATGAGGGAGAAGACAGACAGGGAGACAGCAAAGGCAGACGCCCAGCCCAATGGTAAAGTCGGGCACTCAGCAGTCCTCACAGGAACGGCAGCCCGAAGGTGCCAGACAAAACATAAATCTGAAGAGAAGTAAAGTCTTTTCTTACCATGCATTCACCAGAAACCCGAGCTATGCTCAGCTGTGGACCGAACCAACAGACCACTAATAAACACCTGGGTCTCCATGACCCTGAAGCCCAGAGCCAGAAAATCCGACTTCACGAGCTTCCACCTCTTCACCCACCCCTGCCCTACAAACCCCTCCCCCCCCCACCAAACCCACAGTCAACCCAGCATACCCAATCTATAGAGATGGCTGTAATTTTAACATAACGTCCAAGGGAAGGCCGACATGAAAGGTGATGCTGAAAGACACCGATCCAATGTGCACATAATAGTAACATTCAAGTGTTGGTGAGTGATGTTCTAGAAGGTCAACTATGGTGTGGATTTTTAAATCTGGATTCTCAAGACCATGGTAGCCTTTCATTGCTCAAAGATCCTAATGTCTTTGGGGGGACTCTAATGAGACTCCAGGTCTCATTAGATGGCACGGGACAGTACCATCATCAGCATACTAACATAATAGACGCAACCTTTCATGGCTGCAAAATCCTGACTACCTGAATGGCCTGCCCCCATGGGCTTAGGCTTTCAAGGCACTTTTGGCTCTGTGAAATAGTTCTGCCAATTCTTGGACGTATAAAGCTGCAACAACTTAGAAATGGACGCTGAGGTAACGTCCACTGGAGACAGGAGAAGCAGCTGGCGTTTGGCGCGGTGTGGTTCATCTCGGCTGGCGGGCTGGAGCTCTGCGGAACAGCTCCTCACAGGCAGGGGCTGCTGCGACGCTCACCTGGTGTCTCAACAGCCGCATAGCCCCTTCTCCTTCTCCTCACTCAGCTGATCCGCAGAAGTGTGGCCATTGGACCGCACCACGCCCTCTGGAATCCAGGACTTGTCCACACACCGTTCCATCCGCTTCATTATCAGGTCCAGGAGCATCTCGATCGCTTGGCTGATGTTCGCCCCGGTGGCAGCACTGGTTTCAAAATAGGGGATTCTGGAAGGACAGAAACGGCTCAGTTGACATCGTGGAAGGGGGGGACGGTGACCTGTGTCCTTCATCATTTTTTTAGCCATTCGTAATTTAGAGAACAATTTTAGGATAGATATACATGACAACAGTATAACTTCAGTAGGGAACAGAGAGGAGGCAACACCATCCCAGTTATAATTCAATGTGCCAAATTATCAGGAAAATGAATCTATTCCAGTACGTGTCTCTCTCAAAACAGTTCCTTCGTTATTTCATTTTTCAAAATGATATCATTTACCAGCACCTAAAACAGACACCAGCTTAAAGGACTGGTATCATTGTAACTGGCTTAAGCGGATCAGTCTACATGGGCTGGGTCTGCACCTGTCTCCCCAGACAGTAAGTCGTCCTGAGGCAGAGTGTATGTGTAAAGAAAACTGGACTTCTATGAGGAAGGAAGGGGTCGGGTATAAATGTTGTCTAAGCAACCACCGATATCTGCCCCAGAAAGTAGACCCAGAGTTTTCCTGAGAGAAGGCAGGACCAGGCATCATGGTGCACACCTGTACCATAGCTTGCGGGGGTAGAGGCAGGAGGAGCAAAAGTTCAAGGCAGCCTCACCACACAGCAAATTTGGGGAAAGCCTGGGCTACATTAGACCCTGTCTCAAAACAAAACACCCAGAGGCTACAAGAGAAGGGGAGACCCAGGGGAGCTTCAATTCTATCCCTTTAACTTCTCTAGTGTTGGGAGCACAAAGGTCCTCACGCCCACAGATCACTAGGGAAACCAGGAATGTTAGGCATGCAGAGGTTTCTTTTCAACTGTTTTCCAGCCAGAACAGGGAGTGGATGTTGTTAATGACCTGATGAACTTTGCTATGTAGAGCCAGACCTCACCCAAATCCCCCAGAATGTTAATCCTAGATTCTCCCTCCAAAGACCTTTATATTTATATCTCAGTCAATTTAGAACACATCTTTAGGGGAGATGTCACATGTATGTTGTAGGCCAAGTGACCAGGCAGACCTTCCCTAAGCCCTTAAGCTATACATGTAGTTGATCTCTAGAACCGATCCTCTTCAAAGAAGTAACATGCACTCTGAGTTGACGTTGATGTAATTACGCCCCCGTGTGCACCAGGGACTGTATCACACCAGGAAACTTTTCCAAACTGTACTACAGTAAACCATCTGGGGTCAGACTGACTCCAGAAGTTTTATCCAGCCCAGCTAACTCAGTGGAGCTGAACTGAGTTTTCCTTCAGACCTCACCCATTTCCCTGTGGGCTGTAACCCTTGCAGCATGCCCCCATACACATACACACCCTGGTACTTTCTTGCCACTTCCCAGAGAAGTTAATAAGCCTTAAGGGTGTTCTCTCCATATTCCCATATAGGTCCTCATCTATCCTATAGCCCCTGTTAAACTGGGAAATGTCCTCCTGGATCCACCACTGAGCAACCGCCATATAATCCTCTGGTTTTTGAGGTAGATTTTTTAAAAATTATTTATTTTTATTTCATGTTCATTCGTGTTTTGGCTGCATGTAAGTGTGAAGGTGTCAGATCCCATGAAACTGGAAATTATAGACAGTTGTGTGCTGCCATGTAGTTGCTGGGAACTGAACCCAGGTCCTCTGGAAGAGCAGCCAGTGCTCTTAACCACTGAGCCATCTCTCCAGCCCTTTGAGACAGAATTTAACTAGGTACCAAATGGCTCTTGAGTTTTCTATGTCGTCTAGGCTAGCCTCAAGTTCACAATTCTCCTGCTTCAGCCTATGTAGTATTTGGATTGCAGAGGTGTACCACAACTCCTGGCTTAATATTTTATATATTTTTTAAGATTTATTTTTATTATTTTTAATTATGTGTGTATGCATGTGTGGTTTGTGCACGTGAGTGCAGGTACCCACACGGGCAAAAGAAGGTGTTGGATGCCCAGGAGCTGGTGTGACAGACAGTTGGGAGCCATCAGACATGGGTGCTAGAAACCAAACTCTGGTCCTGTAAGGGCAGCAGATGCTCCTAACCACTGAGCCATCTCTCCAGCCCTGGACATTTTATACAACTGGAAAGGCAATAAATAAATAAATAAATAAATAAATAAATAAATAAATAAATAAATAAATAAATAAATAAATAAATAAATAAAAATTGCCGGGCGGTGGTGGCACATGCCTGTAATCCCAGCACTCGAGAGGCAGAGCCAGGTGGATCTCTGTGAGTTCAAGGCCAGCCTGGTCTACAGAGTGAGATCCAGGACAGGCACCAAAACTACACAGGGAAACCCTGTCTCAAAAAACCAAAAAAACAAAAATTACAAAATCTGAGCCTGGGGAAGAAAGTGAATCTAAAAGGAAGGACTAGGAGCTGGAGAGATGTTCAGCACTTAAGAGCACAGGCTGCTCTTGCAGAGGACCTGGACTCAGTTTCCAGCACCCACATGACAGCTCACAACTGTATGTAACCGCAGTCCCAAGGGAATCAGACACCTTCTCTGATCTTTTTTCCAGACACTGTATGCATGTGGTGTACAGGTATATATGCAGGAAAACCACTCACAGGTATATAAAATATAGGTAAGTAGTGTTGTTTTGTTTTGTTGAGACAGGATCTCTCTATGTAGCCCTGGCTGTGCTGGAATTTGCTACTTTGGCCAAGCTGGCCTTGAACTCACAGAGACCTGCCTGCCTCTGCCTCCTAAATGCTGGCATTAAAGTTGGTGTGTAGCAGGCTTTCTTGGACCACCAGGCCCCAAATCATGACACAGAGACTTATTAATTATGAATGCTTGGCCTTAGCTTAGGCTTGTTTCTAGCTAGCCTTTTTTTTTTTTAACTTAAATTAACCCCCTTCTATTAATCCATGTGCTGCACCAAGGCTTGTTTACCTCATCTAAGTACCATCCATCCTGCTTCCCTGCATGCCTGGCTGGCTGGCTCCCTTTTCTCTCTGCCCACCAGGCCCACCTATCCCTCCTCTGCCTAGCTATTGGCCATTCAGCTTTTTATTTGACCAATCAGGTACCTTAGGCAGGCAAGGTAAAACACCAACACATCTTTACACAATTAAACAAATGCAGCATAAACAAAAGCAACACATCTTTACATAGTTAAACTAATATTCTACAACAGTGGTGTACTCCTTTAATCACAGCAGGGAGGCAGAAACAGGAGGATCTCTGAATTCAAAACCTGCCTGGTCTACAGAGTGAGTTCCAGGACAGCCGGGGCTACACAGAGAAACCCTGTCTTGAAAAACCAAAATAATAATAATAATAATAATAATAATAATAATAATAATAATAAATTTAATTAAATAAATAAGGATTCTGGGTTGTAGAGCAAGCACTGTGCTCCGAGCACAGCTCTGGAGGCCTCTCCTTATCTGTGAGGAGGAAGAGCAGTAGTTCATGAGGTCATGACACTAAGACAACACACACAAACTTAGCAAACATTCAGACATGAGAGTCTTCTCTCACATACAATATTCTTGCCGCATGGGGTGATACATGCCTGCAATCCCAGCATGCCAGAGGCACCATTTCTGCACATTCAAGAGCTGCTTGGTCTACAGAGTGAGTTCCAGGTGCCAGCCAGGAGTATGTATCTAGAAGAGCCTATCTCAAAAAGCCAGTATGCGAGTGAGTGAGTGAGTGTGTGTGTGTGTATTCTTTTTTTAAAAAACATTTTTAGGGCCGGGCAGTGGTGGCAAGCCTTTAATCCCAGCACTTGGGAAGCAGAGCCAGGCGGATCTCTGTGAGTTCAATGCCAGCCTGGTCTACAGAGGGAGTTCCAGGACAGGCTCCAAAGTTATACTGAGAAACCCTGATGAGGAAGGAAAAAAAAAAAAAGTTTATCTAGGCATCAATTCAAAAGGATCTTTAACCACAGAAGACTGGTACTACTCTTTATGTCCACACGAGGGTGCTAAAACAGCACCGCCCGGGGAGCTCTCTTGCTAGAAGTATGAAAAATGGTTGAAATTGACATCCACCTACATACACATGGCCACTTGTTAGCTATTTGGAGTTTGTGGAGAAAAAGACTAATTCTGATGTGCTTTTAAGAATAGATTCATCGAAGGACCACTGAACTCGATGTTTTTACATATCTCTATCTGTATAAAATAATTATAAATGTTTGTTTAAAAAGGCAGATGGATCTGTGTGAGTTCCAGGCCAGCCTGGTCTAAAGTAGTGAGTTTCTAGCCAGTCAAGGCAGTTACACAGAGAAACCTGTCTCCAAAAATCACACACACACAAAATAGACTCACCACAATTTTATTATTTATTTATTTATTTAGGTTTTTTTGAGACAAGGTTTCTCTGTGTAGCCCTGGCTGTCCTGGAACTCACTCTATAGACCAGGCTGGCCTCGAACTCAGAGATCCACCTGCCTCTGGCTCCTGAGTGCTGGATGAAAGGTGTGGACCAACACCATCCAGCAGATTCATCACAATTTAAAAATAAAGACACCAAGTAAACAAAATGGCAACAGTGTCGAATCAAGAGACTGTCTCATTTGAGATCTCCACCAGGATATCCACGAGACAGAATCCTCGCATAGCTGACCTCTTTTCTATATTTATTTATCGACAAAACTAGAAACTTAAAACCAAGTTGCCAAGGCTTAAGAGGAGATGACTGAGTGGTTAAGAGCGCCCACTGTCCTGGCAGAGGACCCATGTTCAGTCCCCAGCACCCATATCAGGTACTCACACCTGCCTGGAACTCCAGCTCCAGGGGAGGAAATGCCTCTGACATCTGTATCTGTGCCATACGCACACACACACACACACGCACACATCACTTTCCTGGCCTGTGCAAGGCCTTGGGTTCAGTCCCCAGCACTGGAGAAATTACCAGAATGAACAGCAAGGATGCCCGGAGAGCTCTGTCAAATGTGTCTAGGTGTTTGACTTACACGTGGATACAGAATCCACAGCGCGTCCTGCCAGAGGCTGAGTGCTCTCAGGAATGGGCTGTGTGATGATCATCTGCACCTGGAAGTCTGTGGACAAT